TCTAGAATTAAAGTAATATATATATGAGTATAATGGTAAGGATGGTATTACATACACAACGCAATTATAATACAATCAACAAATTACTCCGTATTAAATAGACTCCAGGCTTGCACAAAAAATACTCCCTCTGTCCCTAAATGTTGTTTCATCCCGCTTTTCGAGAGTCAACTTAAATCACTCTTAAACTCTTACTTTTTGTATCAAAATTTTATGAAAATTGATTTTTTTTTGCAGGTTTTGTAGCGGGTTTAATGTAGTTTCTGAATATGTAAATTTTATTTACTAAAAATAATCCGAGTTTTCACAGGGATCATTTAACTTTATCGTCGGTCAACCTTCGTAATCCGCAATTGGAACAACATTCAGGGACGGAGGGAGTAACAATTTATGAAATCGAATTTTAATATAAATCACACTCTGAATTTTTTAACAAATTAACATAGGCATATTAAGTCATTATTAATTTATTTTTGATTGAATTATTCTATGAAGATATCAGCCGTGAATGGCAAAATGTAAACTGATACGTAGTACTACGTACTACAGTACAAGCAAACAATTACTCCGTACAAATAAATACCTCAATTAATTGGCTTCTATTAAAACAGCACAATTATATAAAAAAGCAAACGACATAGTAGAAGTCTCACACCGAAACTCAAATAGCTAAAACGAACTTACTGGAATGATAAAAAGCGAAGTACTCGCCAGTTCAATTAAGCTTATGTTTCTCGATCTATGCCTTCTAGTTTGAAATCTGATGTAATTCATAGCGTTAACTTGGGGTTAATTTTTTACTTGGTATCATTTAGTAAGGCGACGTCGCTTGGTCTAAATCTAAAAAGAAAAATAGAAGTTCCATCTCTTAGAGCTGCACCAACAACGATTCAACACTCACACCATCTGTCCATCTCCAATCCTTGGGTGGATTGTCATTCCAAATGAGCAAGTGCACTTTTTATGACCAAATCTAATCTCCAATGATAACACAAATGGGCATCCAAAATCTGAGTTGGCATAGGTTGAGGTCCAGCACAAGGTCCAGAAGTAGACCCTCGGTCACACCTTCTGACAGGCCAACAAAGCAAGAAAGATGCTTTTGTGTATCATATATGGATCTCTTCTTTTTCTCTTTCATCAAATGGACTTCCGCACTGCAGCATGCTTCTAATGGACCGTACCTTTCTTGCTCATATTTGGTTTGGACCTTCTCCATTTATTAGCCACATAAGCACCAATGCACCCGAGCATTGGAATTGCTCTCACCGACTATGTTTCTAGCAAATACAGAGCAACACCAGATTTTCTAGGGCAAGATTACACTACTATCTATATCTACCTTAAGATCTTGGGCGTAGCAGGGGCACAAGCCCCCCAAGTCCCTTAATAGTTCCGCCACTGGGTATCATACCCAACCACCTCATTTTCCCATAAAACACCCATTTACTTCCCATTTTTTACACACATCAATGATCAATTCCCTCTTTTATATAGACATCATTCTTGTATTTTAGGTAATCTTTTGAGTTTGAATTTGCTATAATGAAGCTTGTGATTTGTAAATTGTGAGTTATATCTTTAATCTTCTTCTCTTAATTATTACTCCCTCACTCCCAATTTATATGACATGTTTTCTTTTCACTTAGTCAACACAAATCTCTTTTAATCTTTTATTTCATACATCAAATTTTTATCAAATTTGATTCTGATTTTTCCGATTTTATAAAGCTTTTAATGTATAGTAGTTTCTTAATATGTAATTGTTTTTCCCTAAAAAGAGTTCTGCTTTTATCGTCGATCAAACATCGTAAACTATAAAGTGTCTTACAAATTAGGACGGAGGGAGTAATTACCTCCCTATTCATATTTCATATTGATATTTTAGCATCGTTAAGGGTTTTCATATTTATTATTACTACAATCGGTCGATGAATACACTTGTTATTCACTTATATGGGCCAATTAACCGACATGGTATGCCATACTTGTAGTAGTGCTTGATCCTTTCACAAGTATTAACTTATATTGTTAATGCATGCATCTCATGGTTAATAATGTAAGAGAGATTAATTATATTGATTAAACCATAAAAATTGTTTGTGTTGAGGTTGCAAATTTTAATTGATTTCATCACATGAATAAATTACTCCCTCTTACATTATAATCCTACCAAGAAATCCCTAAAACATGATATGTTTCTTCCTTCAAGGACAAAAATAGAGTCAATCCCTTTGTCAATAATCCGAATAAAACCACCATAAGAATTTCAATCGAAGAGAATTATAAATTTGCCCAATTCGAATTTAGAATTCACCCAATAATCTGAGGAAATTTTAAGAATAGAATCCCGCAGTCATAGTAAATTATCCAGATCAAACACAATTAAAGGAGTAAAACCTGATTTGAACTCAGAATTACGAACAAATTTGTCAAAGCAATTAAAAACATTTTTTTTGCTTTCAATAAAAAGGCAAACTCTGAAGAAGAAGAGGCTGAAGCAAACGTAGTTTGCTGAACCTCGTTCCGGTTGCAAGCCAAATCCTTGTAATCATCGTTCCCAAAGCCAGAAAGTAGAGCCCCTGAAGCATCCTTATATGAGAGTCCTGAAACTAACTTACCAAAGTTTTCATTTTCCTATGTTTGAGACCATCTCTTCTCTTGTGAAAAGGTCCCTTCCCTACTGGTTTTGCAAACCTCTTGCGCCTCGCGTACAGAGCGGCAGAGCTCCCCATGGTCGGACAGGTGGGCGTGAAGCATAGGTTCCTGATGGCTTCCTGGTTGTCCAAACGCCTAGACGTTCATCAACCTTGAAAGGAGCTCACATTCCTGGTTGTCCACCCTGTACCAGTTTTTTAGGAAGTTAGCTTTAGCCCTCATGCAATTAAATTTAGTATTTAATTATTGCATTGTAACAATACAAAAACACATTGTCACGAGGAAGATGTTTTCCTATTTGCTTTTAAGCTATTGTTGGTCTCCTATGCATTTTATGTACTCATTCAATCGATAAGTTTATGTTTCTATTTTTTGTAAAAATACGGAAAAAATACGTTTTATACGGGAAGTTGGAGTTTTTTAACTTTTATAAACGGACCGACATTATTTTTCGTTTTAAACGAGTTTTTTGCTCAAAAAAACGGTACGTGTTTAAAACGTAAAAAAGCTAACCAGGCTTCCAGCGCGGTGTTCCGACCCCTAGTCACCCATTTCTAGCCTGGCGGCAGTTTAGGAGGTGGGCGAATCTTCATCCCTTCATCTTCTTCCTTCAGCACCCTGATCTGCCAATGAGTCGCCTCCATCTCTTGGCCAAAATACCGCACAAGCACAGCCAGTCCAAACGAGAGCAGTCTCCAGATCCTTATCATCTCCCCTGTGCTACAATTGAGATTCGCCCAAAAACCTCCGCGACGCGAACAGTCTGCCACAGGCTTCAGATCACACAAACCTTACTCGACCCTGTGTGAATAGCTCTCGATCTGCGACACCACCTCCAAGACCCAGGCCTTCCTCGAATCGATCTTCCCACCAGAAGTAACACTAGCAAAATCGGGACTCCCATGCGTCGATGAAACGTCGCCGCCTCTCGTCCAAACAACCTAGACCAGGCTACAAACCAAAAACACCGCCTATGCCGGAGAAACGCCGATGGAGGTCGCGAGGGATTTCTCGCGTCTGCCTCTTAGCGCCGCCCTCTAAACCCTAACAACACGATAATAAAAACTGAAAGTTAGAAAACGATATTGGTTTTTATACATTTGGTCTCATAAAAATGACATCATTTGGTAAACATGTAAAAAAATGGCATTACAAATTTTGTGATTTCAAAGTTAGATTGCCATAATACAAATTAAAGTGACAATGTTTATGAAAATTACTATGTAGTGGTTAGAGTATTATATTCTGAGATCTCCGATCCGAGTCTTGTTTGTTGAAATCTAAGGATGTTTTTACTTGGACTGTAATTTGCTGGTCTGGTCTGGTCTGGTCTAATTTGGTCTGGTCTGGTCTGAACTGGTCTGGTCTGGTCTGGTAAGGTCTGGTTTCTTTGTAGAGTCAATTCCCTAAATAGGACTAAAAAGTGGCAAAATTGCACAAATAGGACTACATTTTTTAAATTCCCTTAATAGGACTATTTATGTGTGTTTGGACAAATATACCCTTGTAACTTGTGAAATGTTTTAATTAATAATAAAATCATAAAAACATTAATAAAAATCGGAAAAAATACTAAAAATCGTAAAACAATAATAGAAAATTAATAAAAATATTTTTAAAAAAAATAAAAAAAAATATTTTTTTTAAAAAAAATAAAAAAAAATAAAAAAAATCATAAAATTAAAAAAAAAAAACATTACCACCCCTGTCACCCCCAGCACTACCATCTCTCATCACCGGAGAAAAATATGCCAACATTTTAAATAATGCCATAATGATGGCATATTCAATGAAAATGTTGGCATATTGAAGAGTAATTATGCCATCTTTTTGGCATTTTCAGAAAAATATGGCATTTTTTTACCAAAAGTGGAAGAAATTTCACCAATCGGAGGTGGTGGTGCTGGGAGGCGGTGGGAGGCGGTGAGAAAGGTATCCATAATTTTTTTCATTTTTTATGGGTTTTTACTATTTTTTATTATTTTTTTAAAAAAATTAAAAAAATAAAAAATAAATTTTTTATTTTATAAATGTTTTATAAATTTTTTATAATTTTTTTACGTTTTTTAAATATTTTTTACGTTTTTTGTGATTTTATTATGAATTAAAGCATTTCATTATGAATTAATACTCTTAGGGGTATTTAGAGTAGAAAATCAATGTTTAGTCCTATTTAGGGAATTTTAAAAATAGTAGTCCTATTTGTGCTTCTTAGGAACTTTTTAGTCCTATTTAGGACAATTTCCGTTCTTTGTATTGTGAACAAGACCAGAAGAAGAAGATCGAACACGAAGAAGAATTGAAAAGAAATAAAAGGTTGAACAGAAAAACGAACACAAGTCGCTGGTTCTCTTTAATTTGTATTCCATTTCAATTCATGTCACAAATATAATACTCCGTACCACTTCGATTCGTATACTCCATATAACAACGATGAAAGAGATACATTCAAAAGAAATTAAAGGCTTCACAACAAAAAACACCAAATAACGAAACAACATGTAACGATCCAGGTCACCCACCACCGTACAGCGGCGGCCAGAGCCGTTCAAGACAAAATTAATTAAGCCGATCCATGACACAATTATAGCAACAACAACAGTATAATATTACGTACGTCCGTACTCAACAAAACGAGACAGAGATTTGCGCGGCGGGACTGAAAACAGCGGCGGTTTTGGTTGGCTGGACGGACTAGGGCAAGTCTTCTTCGTCCAAAGTGGTCATGTCCGCCTGACCAAAATTATGATAACTTTCCGTAGTGTGCGTGGGATTATAATTAGTATTACGATAATTCAGCTGGTTGCTTGGTTTTCTGGTATCACTCATCCCGAAAGTCTGTTCTGCTCCAGATTTCTGCTCCTCCTCCTGCCGCTGGTAATTATTGTTGTAATAATTACTAGGGTTGTACTTATTAGTGTTTGAGGCGCCGTGGCTTTGTGGCGGGATGTTGTTCTTCTGGTTATAAGTTGCGTAGACTGTGGTGGCCGCACTCACCCTGTAAGGCGGCGGCGGCGGCGGTTGCGAATAAGCATTGGCGCTTTCAGTGAAATAGAAACTGACATCTTTTTTGCCGACTGGTGCGGTATTTTTTTCGTCGTCGTAGTTCGCCTGGTGGTAATAATTAGGTTTCTCCTGCTCCTCCGATTCATCGATCGCCGTAATTATTGTGGCGCCGCCGGTTTCACTGTCCTTGTTGAAAGTAGCAGAACTGTAGTGCTTGGAGGGTGGTGGGGGTGAGGTGTAGTAGAAGGGGGGTGGGGGTGGGGGTGAGGTGTAGTAGATGGGGGGTGGGTTATAACGATTTTTTGTACTATATTTATTAGTATACTTGGAATCCTCATTCTTCTCCTCCTCCTCCAATTCATTGACTGTGGCAGTAATTATTGTGGCGTCGCCGGTTTTACTCTTCGTATTGGAAGTAGCAGAACGGTAGTACTTGGCGGTGGGTGGGGTGTAGTAGGAGGATAGGTTATCTTGCTCACTCTCCGGCTCGTAATTTTTATAGTAATTATTCTTTGCCCTATATTTAGTGTACTTTACGGCACCGGATTCCTCGTCCTCGTCCTTCTCCTCCTCCACATTTGTGGTCGTGAACTTTGCCGCCGCGGCCACCTTTGTATCAGTATAAGCGTTGGTGGCAGCCTGCTGCTGCTTCTCCGCGGCGGCAAGTCGCTGGTTCTCTTTGTATTCCTTTCTTAACACTTCATCCTCGTACAGCGCCTCAATCCTCTCCTGCATACTCGTGGGCTCTGCGCGCGTCACATACATATCAGGGTGATAGTTCCAGGGGCGCCATTGGGGCTTGGCTCCGGTGGCGGAGGCTTCTACGGCCGGGGCGGGGGCGGGTGCATCCCCGAAGGCAGGAGCGGGGGCGGGTGATTCGACGACGGCGAGGGACTCTTTACTAAGAATCCCGTGCCTTAGGTCGTCAATTGCTTGGATGAAGGTCGGCTGAACTTGTTCTGGCAGCAGCGGCGGCGGCGGCGGCGCTGTCCTTGAGTCTGACGACAATTTGGAGAAGGACGACCTTGCTGCGTGAATGTTATAAGGGAGGAGCAGCAGGGTCAGGAGGAGCAGCAGGAAAACGATGCCGGAGTGGTTGGCGGCGTCGCCGGCCATGATGGGAATCGATCAAATCCGGTGTGGTAGGGTGTAGCCACCAGGTGCGAATTAACGTGCTGGTATGTTTGTTTTCATTTTATCGTTGTGAGTTGTACGTGACTTCCATATATATACATGTATGTGTGTGTGAATGTATATACAAAGTCTGTACTATTTAAATCGAGTATAAAAAGTCTCTACAACTCCCTGTATTGTTATTATCTATTCACCATTGTTTCTAATATTGATATTTTCATATTACTATACTCCACGTAGTATGAAAATAGCAAAGTAGGCTGGCGAAAAATTGTACTCCCTCCGTCCTATTAAGAGGTTCCAATTACGATTTACGATATTTGATTGACGATAAAACAACATAATCCTTGTCACACTCTGATTATTTTTAGTAAATAAAATTTGGTGACAACTCTGGTACCCATTTAAAAAATGGGCTATCGTACCTACCATGCATTTGATTGGTCCAAATCATTATATCCTTTTTAATTTAGATTTAAATAATTCAACTGCATCATTGTGATTGGTCAATGTGGACAAAGGTATGGTACCTTAAGGGTACCATAGAATCTACCATAAAATTTACATATTCAGAAACTACATTAAAACCGCTACAAAGTCTGATAAAAATTTGATATATAAAGTAAAAGATTAAGAATGATTTAAGTTGATCATGTGAATAATGGAGGAGAACCTTTAAATAGAACGGAGGAGTAGTATTTACTTTTACTTAAAATGTACTACTCCCTTGAATATCACATGGTTCATAAGTTTCTATTACTCCGTACTTTTTTTTTTTTTGAAAGAAGTTTCTATTACTTCTCCGTCCTCTTAATATTGAGACAAAAGAGAGTGACATGATTTTTAAAAAAAATAGAATTATGTGATTAATAATGAGTTAATAAATTGAATATAAAGTAAGAACTAATAGAATTACATAAATTTTATTGCGATGAACAAAATGAAACAATTATATTGCGATGAAAGGAGTATATCGTTGAAAATTTCCTCGACATCATCCTTCTCTTTGGTCTCCGGTCTCGCACATCTCTAGCGCCACGGTTATCCATGGTACATGCCTTTCCCTCCAAGTCATTCGATATCATCTTTCTCACCCAACATTTCAACCTCCTCATCTATAGGTTTTGAATTGCTACCGTCTTATATTTTGATCTCATCATTAATTGAGATTTGAGAATCGTTCCTTTTGGCATTGAAGCATTTGATATTAGTAACATAGTTAGAAATTCATTTTTTATATCTCATGTAAACGAGTATGTATCGAAATATCAACATATTCAACAACTCATTATATTAAAATGAGAAACGAGTCAATAAAACTACCATTTTGAAATTAAAATTGTAAGTACTCAAAGTTTTTGGATATTGAAGATAGAAAGCGATACAAAAATAAAAAAACTAAAACGTCTAATACATATTTCCATTGGAGATACTAATATCCAGGGATAACATCGTTTTCTAAAAAGATAGTCTCCAATTGAGGTTCATCAGTGAAAAAGTTGGCGAACTCAAGTACTCCTATATCATCTATGCTCCCAAAGTCATCTCCACCAACAATCACATTTTACTTATCGCCCATATACTTAGTTGTGTGCGAGATTAAAACAAAGTAAAATTTATTTTTAGTTTTTTATTTTTAAAGAATTTTATTATTTAAATTTTGGGTGTTTTTTATAAAGAGTTGATATGTGTATGAGTGAGGATATGAATATTCTAAATTTTAAATTATCTATCAGGTGAAAACTTTTAGAGCCCGTTTGGTAGCACCAAAATCGGCTGTTTTGGCTGATTCTGCTGAAATTTATGATATTCTGGCTGGAGTGGCTGTTTTGGCTGATTCTGCTGATTTAAGAAAAAAATATTTTAAAAATATATTTTATGAATAAATTAAAGAAAAAATTATATGTAAAAATAGCTAAAATGGTCCTCTACAGTAACTTCAGCTAATACAGCCAGAAAAGTAACTCCAACCTTACTTTTTCGGCTTATTACACAATTCAGCGCGCGAAAGTAAAAGTTACGTGTTTGGTGAAAAAGCTGGCTGATAAGCCTGATAAGCTGAAAACAGAGTTCTCCAAACGGGCTCTTAATAAATTATTGATATAACTCGGGAACGTATAATATCAGTATTGTAGAGTATATGATACATTGAACGAATACGCCATATCATATAGTGTACCACGTAGTAGTTTGGGATTATTTGATGATTGTCGTGTGTAAAGTTCAACGGGGCTAGAAAAGCATAATCCGGAATTATTGGGAAATCCGTAAATCGTTTTGAATTGTGACAGTCCCTTTTTTGGTCAGGAAGTCTTTGATGTTACGTTACACATGATATTCATCATTTATTTTTTATTACTACGTACTATCCTTCGTCTCTTTTTAATCGCAACATGTTGAATTTTACACTGTTCACATTTTCTACTTTGACTACATTTTATATTATTATTTTGTGAAAATTATTTTTAAAAAATTATATTGTTCAATTCATCTCTTTACAAATTTTCAAAATCTATTTTTTCAATATTTTTTACTAATAGGGATTAAGATATAATTATGGTCAAAGATGTGCGTTGGCAAGTGTGAAATGTTGACCGTTGCAACTAAAAAAGAACGGAGGAAGTATATTATTTGGACAGAGGTTTCGGAGGGAGGGAGAATTATGGAATGCAGTAGTAATAAGTAATCGATATCAAGTTCATAGTGTTCAGCCCAATTCTTTATAAGTTTTCCGTGAATAAATGACACGATTTTTAGATAAATAAATAAATAAAGTAATTTTGGTAAAGAAGGAAGTAATACTCCGTAGATAATAGATATCTATATATATGCATAAAAATTATACACGGCACAATTTAACAGATAATTAAAACTTGATAGGAAAGAAAAAACTAAATGGTTGAATTAAATTCCATCTAAATTCTAAAGTATGTCTATGTACAGAAAATCCTGCCGGGGTCAACTATTCAAAGGAATCAAAGCCAAAATGTTGAAGACAAACAAAAAAGAAAACGAGTGAAGAATTATATAGATTGAGATGGGCAACCCGGGAAATACTCCGTATGATATTATGGGCCGTAAAAGTCTGGGCAATGAAAAAGTGTGGGCCGCTTTACATTACTTTAATGATGGATAATAATGGATGCGGGGATTGTGGAGACTGGCCGGCCCGGCGCTGAAAAAATGTCACTTTAAATTTGCGGTCATTTTCAAAATCGGTAAAACTTAGGCTATGTTTGGCACACATAAGTCTATGTCTTATAGTTTTTGTATTATATAAAAAGTCTTTAAAAGCTTATAATTATATGTTTGGTATGACAATTTTCAAGAGTTTTTAAAAAAAGAAAAGATCTTTTTTCAGATGCTACAGGGGTAGCATCTGAGAAAAGTCTCTGACTTTTAGCATTAATTAGTCCCGACAGCTTGCATACCAAACAGAACTAAACCAAACAGTCAGTTTTTTAGCAAATAGCTATTACCTTTTACTTTTAAGATCTTTCTAGTCACAAAAAGCTAACAATTACTAAAAAGTTTGTAAAAGTATCTTTTCAGCTAGTTGTGCCAAACATACTCTTATACGGAGCAGGTATTTGAGACGTAATTAGAATTAAATAAAGATAAAGAAATTTTCAATCCAATTGAAAACAACTTTCGATATACAGAGTCTTATAACAACTCAAAAATTTACAATGAATACAGAATGAGCCTTTTTTCGGCTTATTAGACTTATTAATCAACTTTTTCATCAAACATCTAACTTTTGATTTCTCGCGCTAAATAATGTAATAATAAGAAAATGTAAGTTTGTAGTTACTTTTCTAAATGTATTAGCTGAAATTACTGCAGAAGATCATTTTAGTTACTTATCATTGTTATCAATATAATATGGATTGGCATCTCATCGAATAACAAAAGGGTAGGTTGTTGCGTATACACTGTAATTACTTTTGAATGTAAGAATTTCAGACCAATGAAAGTCTGGCTTGGTAAAAAAAGATGCCATTAATCAAAATTATTAGGTTCCAAAAAAGAAGTAAAACAACTCCGTAGAAAGAGTTCTGCTGTTCGTCAACTTTGTCACTCTGTCCACTCCGTAGAATTATTAGGAAAGTAATCCTTTCACTTTTCTCAATAATTCTTAGAGCATCTTCAATGCTAAAGCGTTAACGGTGCATACGTGGCATCAGAAATAACCAATTAAAAAACAATAAATACAATATTTCTCTCCTTCTTTCCACGGTTTTATGTGTTTATGGTAAGTTTTTGTCTGCAATGTCAATCACAATGTCTACATCTAGACATTGTGCTTGACATTGTGAAGATAAACTTACCAAAATGATGTAAGATCCTTTAAATAAGGAGAGAGATATTGTATTTATTATTTTTTAATTGGTTATTTCTGATGCCACGTATGCACCGTTAACGTTTTAGCATTGGAGATGCTCTTAAATTTTAGTAAGCGAGATTAGCGGAAAAAGTAAATCAGACTCCGTATATTTGAGTATTTGACAAGATTAGATAAATAAAAAAGAAAAAGAAATGTTTGACGAAAGATGAAGACCATCCAATAAAAATAAACGATGGTCGACGGAGAGGAACTGGAAGACAAATTAGATGAATATAAAGGTTTGACAAATTACAGGAAATGATAAATAAATGAAAATGAAAACGATCTAAGAAGGTACTCCCGTACACCATGTGTAACGCAAATTATTAATTCAACAAAATTTGATTATCAGTAAAGCAAGAGGATTCAAATTACTACCTCCCTAACATAAATACGTTCCTATTTCAAAAGTAGATTATGAATACTGAAAGACGAAATAAATTATTGAAGATATGATGATAAGGTAGTGAAAATAATGTGATGGAATGAAGGATAAACTAAGAAAAGTAATTACTACGTATAATAGTGTATTATTTTTAATATTATTGAGGGTATGATGAGAACATTTTGAATTGAGAAGATTTTTTGGTTACAGAAGAGAAAGGAAAGTAAGAGAATCTTTATGTTATGGAGGTAGTAAAAATTAAGAGTTGTGCGGTGGTCGTTTCCCTC